AATCCAATCTACTCAACAACAGTTATGTACCCAGCAGGACAGTAAGATGAAAAAATGGGCGAAAAAAAACCGGATGGACTGACCATACCTTGTCCTTTGCCTACGTCGTGAAAGGAGTACATGGCATCAGGCTGGTGGAAGGCAAGGTAGCGCTCGGCAAGGACGAGGTGCTCGGCAATGGTTTGGTCCCACTGCTCACAGTGGAGGTGCACCTTGGCATCAGCACCGTCAGTCATGGCCAGGGAGAAGCGGAAGGGCAGCCATGTAGTTTTGACGAAGACACTGCCAGCGGCCACCGCCACCACCTTGGCGCCATCCATGGGCACCGAGAGCTTTGTACAACTGTGTCTCACCGCCGCCATAGAAAATGATCAAGCCCAATGAGTCAATGAGGCCTGTTTTGGGAAACAATAGAATCTGAAACACAGTTAGTGAGAGGCCTGTTTTAGGCCCTGTGAGATGAAAAGAAAATGGGACTCAATATCTAAAAACTCTTCAGTTTGGCACAAATTCAGCATGACCAAAATTGATCAAAGGAAGGAAAATATTTCATCATAAGACATCTTTGCAATTTCAGACCACTTGTGTCCAATAGCTTGTTGAGTCTGCATCACAGTGAGAAGCATCATTTGCATACAAAAAAAATAATTTAGACCAAAATAGTAAAATAATACATATTAAGTGTGGTAATAGCAAAATAAGGCCAGAAATATCTTTACTCCTCAAAGAGGCATTAAAGGTATAATTGATACACACATCTTCAGCATGTCAAACACTATCCGCCCACATCGTTCAATTTTTTTTTCTCCCTCAGCGTGCCTCCCCATAACCTTATGAAAAATACAGTGGCTTCTACCCCCTGTCTCGCTCCAACATCCTGCTGCCACTGCTTTTTAGCATTAACATTTACAAAATAAAATATTAAACAAATGTAATAAATGAGATATATTACCTCAGCTATGGAGTTAACACCTCTTTCTAGACGATTCTAATAAACATATGTGAAGAGATCATCAGAACTGTTGCTATGGGTATTCACCAAACCAATTACGATAGTAATAAAATGTAGTCAAGTCATCAGAGGGAAAATAAAGTAGAGTTTGGTTAGGCTACTGGGTCACAGAAGTTTGTAAAAACAACCGCTTAAAATTAAGAAATGCATACCAAATCATTGTACAACACGAACCAAAATTTCTTTTTTTTTACTGTATCGCTTTTGTCCTCTGGGCTAACAACTCAGGTGCCAACAATGAATTTCTTTGCTGCATTGGGTAATAGAGCAATTCATCTAGGAACACTAACACATATCTATCCATTTGAAATCTGTAAATGCATGCAGCAATCATGTTTTTTCACTTCTGAGATACAGCATAACAGCACGCAAATGATCGGAATAACATCTGAGCTACCTGCCTACAACACACAATATTGAAGTAAGTTTCACTTGGAGTTCTCACGACTAATTCTATTGATTAAACCCATACACAAAAAACAATGTATTAGGATTGTCTGAGTTGTTTATTAGTCATTTCCTTTGGGAAAACCAGAAATTATTTCTATCCATCTGAATGTATTTACCTGTAGCTTCCTTCAGATCAGTATATCATTTCCTCAAACACATGTCAGAACCACAGGAACAAAGGCATACTTCTATCATCACTTCATCAGCAGGTCAATAAACTTCTATGCTTAGAAGAGAGGCTCGCCAGGTCAATACTCTCTCCAGATTGCAAACAAACGAGCATGCCAACCCACAGATCCCACAGTTAGAAAAACTGAATATTTGAGCTGTTATTGGTATATAAGTCGTGCTTCAGAAACATCAGATCAACTTCACAGGAACAAAAGAATCGATATCAGTTCTAAAAAAACAATAGCGAGTTTCAGAATGAATGCTCACTTGACGGTGATGGAGGGGATTTCACCGAGGGCTCAGCGTCACCGACGATGTGGAGGTCGCCGGCGTCCTCAACATGGGCGAGCTCGTGGTTGCGGTTGCCGCAGTGGTGTGGCGGAGACTCTAGAGGAGGGCTTGGTTGCAGTTGTCAGCAGTGATTGGATACAAATCCTCTGCACCAGAGCCCCCATCGCTGGAGGACTCCATCAAGGTGACTGAAACCCTAGGAATCCATCCCGGCGTGGCGGCGACGGTGGCGGTGGCCAGGCGCGTGGTCAGCGGGCTCGCCGGCGGCAGCGTCGGTGGAGATGATGGCGGCCGAGGGCCCGACGGTGACGACCGCCCGCGACGGTTCACGCCGTGGATGGAGCGAAACTGCCGGCCGCAGGAATCGCGAGGGAGCGAGGTTTCCTTTTTGTCGCCGTGGATATGATACCGGACGTGAGTGGACTTTCGCGAGGGGACGGACGTGGGAGCGCCGGGCCCAGCTATCGTGGGGGAGGCGAGGTGGAAGCCGGGTGAACTTTCATGAGGGAAGACAAGGTGAAAGCCCCGCGGCCAGAATCACGGGAGCGGGTATCGCACGGGCGGTAGGCTGGACGATGGACGAATGTACCACCAGAAAAGTGTTCACGCTTCGTAGTTTTTAGTCGCAGGAGAATTGTCACTCCAAATTTGAGTTCGAATAACACCGTTTCCCGGCATGCAGACCGCGCCGCGATCGTCACCGACGGCGACCTGGTCACGCTGACGGACGCGAACTCCGGCAAGCCGTCGTCAGCCCCCGTCCCGAACCCATGGCGTCTGAGCACCGTGCAACGCGTGGAGGAGGTCAAGTCGGTGATCCGTATGGACAGCCGCGAGCAGGTGAGCACCATGGACCGCCGCGAGCCATGCTCTTCACCCTCTTCTTCTAGGACCGCGCGCTTGTCCGCGTGGCGGGCCCCTTCACGGGGCTGGACCGCGGCATCTCCTTCCTCCACCGCATGGGCATCGGCTTCGCCATCAGCATGCTCGCTCGCCACCCTGGTCGCCGGCTTCGTGGAGCGGCACCACAGGGAGGCCGCGGCGGCGGCCAGCGCCACGGACGCCGGTGCGTCTCCGCTGTCGGGCTACTGGCTGGTGCCACAGTACGCGCGGCACGGCGTTCACCTCCGTGGGGCATCTCAAGTTCATGTACGACCAGGTGCCCGAGAGCATGCGCAGCACGGCGACGACGCTCTTCTGGCTGTCCATCTCGCTGCGAAGCTACGCGAGCACGCTGCTGCTGACACCGTGCACCAGTGGAAACAATTCAAAAAATATGAGATCTTCCATCCGTGTTCGTTCAAACAATTCAAAAAAATCGAATTTCAAAATATGGGATCTTCCAACATAATTTTAGAGTGGTAAATGATTTCAAATGAAAAAAGTTCTCATCTATAATCGAGATCTACAACTATGATTTTGACCATTTATCCATTCAAATTCGTTCAAACAATTCATAAATTTAAATTTTAAAATACGAGAAACTCTTGGTCCTGCCAATCAAATTGTTAAGTATGTTTTTTCCCTTTCGGGAAACAAGACAAATTGGCTTGGTTTCAAAGGTGGTTTTGAGTATATATGTATTTTCTAAAAATAATACAGTAATAGGTAAATCGTTAAAATTCATAAATAGTTCTTTTTATTAAATTAGAAAAATATAAAGTTGGTACCAATTTGTTTTTTCTAAAAATATGATATATCTATTTAAAATAAATTAGTTATGAATATTTAGAAGTTTAAATATTATTTTATTTCAAATAGATTTTTGAAGTTCTCTTTTTTAAATTTAAACTATTTGAACTATTCGAACGAACTCGGATGGAGAAATGATCAAAACTAGAGTTGTAGATACAATTGTTTTATTTGGAATCATTTACATTCCCAAAATTTTCCTACACCGACAGTGATGTTCGTGCTAAACGACCTGACGAAGGTTGAGAAAGAGATGCTCCGTGTAGCTAAACCCATGTCTGGTAACCTTTGAAAGTAGGTTTCTGACCATTGCCTTTCATGCCATAACACATCGGTGAAACTGGAGAGAGTTGAAGAGAAGGGGAACCCCAGAGGCATTCACCATTTGGTACAGTCGCTAATTCGACATTTTTTTGTACTAATTTCTTGAAAGGGAAAAAACATACTTAACCATTCAATTAGTAGGACCCAGAGTTCTCTTATTTTGATTTTTTTTGGATTATTCGAACGAACTCAGAAAGAAAAATGGCCAATACTAAAGTTGTAGATCTCGATGAGATCTGCAACTTTATGGATGAGAACCTTTTATTTGAAATCATTTACGGTCCTATAATTATGTTGGAAGATCTCATATTTTGAAATTCAAATTTTTTGAATATTAGAACAAACTCGAATGGAGAAATGACCAAAAACCAAAAATGTAGATCTTGTAGTTGATGATTGTTTCATTTGAAATCATTATGGTCCCAAAATTTTGTTTCAAATTCTTATCTTTTGAAATTCAAAATTTTTGGATTGTTAAAATCAGCTCGGATGAATAAATTAACAAAACTAAAGTTATCTTGATGATATAGATCATTTAAAAAAATGGTATCAATTTCATATTTTTCTAATTTGAAAAAATTATTTATGAATTTTAGCAATTTGCCTATCATTTTACATAATACTCAAAACCACCTTTGAAACCAGCTAAGGGCCAAAATTATCCGATTTTAATAGTTGTATGGTCGCCCATGTTCGGTTTTAGAGCTTAAGGTCGAGAGCTAAATTACACAGTTTGAGGACTAAAAGTGGATTTTTTAAATATTATATACAATGAATTAAACAGAAATGGTGTACTGCTATATAGCATTTAAACGGGGTGTAAACGAGCCAAACAACTATTTAGGCGAACAATGGTTATTATACAACTCACAAAGCCTAGATTAATATTAATGAACCACTCGTACCTTTTCTGAAATAGATTATGCTGGCAGCTTGATTTTATAAGAAAACCATAGACCATAGCGACGAGCAATACATATAGTCAAACATGAACAATCTTCAGTATCTTTTTCATTTCAGGCAAACACACATTCGCTGACAACCTTGCAGTCACTGAAAATTATCTGAGCACTGGAGGAGAACCGCGGTCTCTGAGCTTATTCACTACCAGCTCTTGTCCATCTTCATTTTCTGGAAATTTACGTTTTACTGACGCTGTACTGGTTGCTTCGCATTCCTTACAGCGCTTGTCTTTCAAAACAACCGACTGTAAGTTAGAAGCCCGCTCCATCACTGCTCCTATAAACACTAGATGTTCTTCTGATGCATTGAAACCAATGATTTCGAGCTCTTTCAGTGGCAAATGCTTCGGGTATGCAAATTCTGACACTTCCCATGGCGCATTAGTTCTTTCAGCACACGTCTCAGTTACTTTCTTGTCCTCCTCGCATCGATGGTCATACACCTGCATATACATGCAACATGTTTTATGAAGTGAAAATGATTAAATGGACTAAGTTGTTCTTTTCAATAGTCACAAATATTTATTTGCAGGGAACATAGCACGTGCGTATATGTATGTATATCTTTGTGTTAACTTTCGTCATGAAAACGTTGCATGATGACAGCTAGGAATCATGCTCATTTCTCCCATATATATGATGACGCCACCAACAATTCTTGCACTGCATCTTCACTCTCATGACTCACGAGGTGATATTTTTGACAATTTGAGAAAGTGCCTACTGAACAAGCCCAAACGAACAGGACGTAGTAATGTCCATATAACATGGAAACGGTCCCCTTTACACATACTTTGGTCCTTGCTTATTTCAAACTAGCAAAAATAATACATTTGGTGATGAATCAATTTATATATCATTCTTGTTAGATGAACCCAATTTTCTGACATATGGCACCGGACAAAGTTTAAGAAGTTTCGAATTGGCATTCTAAGAATCTAACTTGTACCTGAACTAGTAGCAAACATAGTAAATTTGTAGTTGGTCAAGCTTAATCACTAGGTCGATGACAAGATTTTGGAGAGGCATAAGTATAAGGCCTTCTCACGTGCTTTGTTGTACGTTTTGGCACATACGACAATAGTAGAGGTACAAAAGCAACAGCCACCTATACATGACAATGGAATAGAACATGATTATTGTTTAACAGGCCAAACCATTAAGTCCCATTGTCAACCCAGTAAATTTTGGTGGTGGTTTATCAATTAAAGAATTTAACAAGTTCACCTCGAATAGATCACCCTAAACGAAGAAAAAGATTGATGACGCTAACCATTTTACAACTTAATGTAAGTATCGTTGTACCAAATCCATTAATTCTATTAGGCACACTCTTCCACCACATGAATCACTCAGCAATACTCATAAATGACAAAGGCATAAAGGTCATTGGATATTTTTTCTTAATAAAAAGGATTTGCTGAATTGATAAAGAAACAAGCAAAACTGCAAAAGTACCTCAACTTCAAGTATCTCGAGGGATGGCGCAGCTTCAAGAAGAGCTGTTGTCCACAAAAGGCCAAATCCAACAAAGACATCATATATACACAATTTCCTCAAATTGCTAAATGCTGAGGAAAGTTGATGTTTTTCAGGTAGTAGCCAAATCTGGAGAGTTGAGAAAGAAAGAAAACAGGGGGAAATGTTCAGTTAGTGAATGAAAACAAGAAAAAAAAAGTTCGGTGAGTATTTGAGTAAATATGCTCCCTAAATGAATGATCACAAATCAATCAGTTCTACATGATCATCCAATGTAATTAAAACAAACCTATATCAAGAAAGTCTTCCAAACAGTAAGATACACAAAACATAATGTCATTGTTGTGCTCAAAAGTTAATACTTTGCCTAGGCATAAGGCCAGAGCTGATGACAATTGTAGAGACAGTAGTGACTGAATATATGAATGTATTACCTTTTGCCCAAGGAAATCCAATGATAAAGTATTTATACATGTCGTACCGCGTAGAAACTCACTTAACTTGAATATATGGTTCCTGAGGAGGGGGCATGGCCGAAAAGATTTCCACTTCCTTGAGGCATGGGATGTATCCCCAAGTCAAGGGCACACATCTAGTTAGCCAAAAGCCAAATATGACTTTCTCTAGCATAGGAAGGCAATGCAACTCAACTTGCGCAAAATAACAGTGGACAAGTTCTAGAATGTTGAGTTTTGAGTTTGGTGCATCTATCTTGAATGTTGATTGGAAGCCAGTATCACACTGGCTGAGATAAAGATAACGAAGTTCTGTGCATACATTTGCAATGAGATTATGTAGATCTGATTCCGCAAAGGTTGCATTAAAAAGGAGGAGTCTTGTGAGGCAACAAGATATATTTGGATAGTTACCAAAGAAACCATTCACAGCATTTGCGTGATTTTCCATTTCTTCATCACTGACAGCGCCCGGGGTCCTCTCAACCCCACTTGTGAGCTCTATATCTTCTACCATTCCATTTTCAACCACTTCATTAACAAGATGACCGATTTCACTCGAGTACCTGTTGGCTATGGCCAGTGAAACACAAAGTCTGGTGATGACTGTCTTTCTGCGGGAAGGAGACAACATGCTTCTAACTGCTTCTGCAAGAGATGACATCGCTTTATCAATGTGATCATCCACTGTGGAATCTGCAGGGCGACGACAGCGGCCCGCTGGGCCGGCCACGGCCAACCCACGGCCATACAGGCCGACCGGGCATCGGCACCGCGGCGAGCGGAACGCGGCCAGCAGTGCGACGCCGAGCGGCCGCGCGAGGTGACAGTGCGCACATGCCAGTCACATGACGTGCATGAATTTTAAAGCGCATCTAAAAACTAACCTAACACAGTTGAAGCTAAACTACCTCAACCATGCTAACGATGGTACAACAGTCTACCATAAAGAGCAAAAACACAGCATTGACCTTTAGCTATATTTCCATAATTAATTCACCAACATGACATTGTCACGCTGTTTTCAAACTTAAAATTTCTTTCAAGTCTTGAGCTGAATTTGACTTCAAGTTTCATTTCCAAGCCATTAGAAATACTAGCGAGTCATATGATTTTTTTACAGCAAGAGTTGCATTGTCATCTACAAAGTTTATACTTCAAAACTTATTTAGATGTCACACACATGTTCTATAATACTTTTGCTCAATAAAAATTGATCTTCCATTCTACTTGACATAACATGAGTTATCGAATAAATTTCCATTTAACATTTTTATTGGTCATTTTAGGCTACAAAAAATTTATCAACACCTTCTATCACATGTATTATGACATAAACACGATGCTCATGATACGATTTAGTAATTTGTTTAGGGCGTAATAGCGAGGGTGTTATATGAGGCAACATGTGGTACGTCCGTACGAGTAGTTGCGAGCTTGCATATCTGCGACGGTGATGAGATGCATGCTAGCATCAATTAACTAATTCATCGTACATAGACCAGTCAGAATATATATTAGATTAGAATATTGAAACTACGGGTTTCTAAATCAATCTATCAGCGGCTAGCTGCTTGATGTAGTGGATAATGATCATTGTGATCAATTTACCATATACTCCTCCGTAGTGCGTACTAGATAATATCAATACAGCGCTTCATGCCGCTTTTCTGTAGTGCAACACGCTTAGGCTGCGAGCCTCGTGTGGGTGGCCACATAAAAGTGTCGTTCATGCCGGATTGCGCGATGCTGTGCCGAGGCATGGCAACTTTGGCAAGCCGGTCTCGGGTAATATCAATGGAGGCTTCAAGCCCGACCATGAGGGCTAGCTACGCTGCAGGGTAGCGGATGCTCATGTTCAGGCGGGCATATGCAATAGCACACGGACAGCAAAGGATTACAGTTTGGCAACGACATGCAGGCCGTAGCTAGCGGCGATGAACGAGATCGGGCACATGCGACGTTTGCTGGTGTATTCTCTGGGCGTCAGCTACAGGCTGAGATCGAGCACAGGCAATAGAAGTAGGTGCCGGCCACATCCAGCCATGGTACATGCACAATCGGTTGGGTCCCGTAGGCCCGTGGCTTCAAGCTGGTGACGTCTTGCGGTCGCCCATAGGACGGCTGCTAGCCGAGACGCACGCAGTCTGCAGATCCGCGTGGAGGTGGTCTAGGATAATTAAGCTTAACGCTATGCAATGGCCATGATCAATGAGGTAGCTTCAGGGCTAATGAGATTGTGCATGATAGGCCAAGATCATGGTTTCGTGAATCGAGCCTTTTTCTGTTTTTTATTTAGGCCCCTCCTGTCGGCTCGTGGGAGACCGACAGGATGTTACTGTTCACCGAAGTTATTTTTCACTATCCTCCTCCTCGTTTTTCGGGCTCCCACGGCTCCTGCTCGCGTTGGCACCTATCAGCCGACAGGATCCGGCCAAACGGGGCCTTAATCCTAGATGATGGTGACGTACAAATCCCATTACGCATCCATGTATGTGTACACATAAAACCATGCACGTGTACAATAGTACAATACACATGATAAAATAATAGCTTATGCGATCTGTGATCTGCGAGATGCAATTCTTTCATACCTCGTAAATGATGTCAATTTGATCTACCTCACATATTGCGACAGCTCGTTCGGAGGATCACCTGAACAGTGTTTTTTGGATTTTTTTAATGATTGAATAGTATTCTGTGAGAGAGAATAAGCTGAAACAAGCTGGAACTATACCAGCTGAACGCGGTGACATACCGTGTAGGGCGTTTGACATTGTTGTAGAACTGCCTGCTCGACAACGGTGCACGTCGATGCAGTGCAGATTAGATGCGGGTAGAGGTAGCAGATCTGTTCCGCTAACAACGTCGGGGATGTCGGCATCGTCGAAGTAGTCGCGGCAGGATGTCGACGGTACAAGCGCCGGCATCGAAGATCGGCGATAGCTTCAACGGCGATGTCGACGAAGAGTTTGCCGTGCTGATAACGTGTTATAAAACATGTCGCCAGTGGTTAGGACTTTTTCCTCTTCGTCTCTCATGATCAATACAGTAGATGAAAGTTGAAGAACAAATAGACATTAGATGAATAAAGAATAGTCTCCCTATCTTGTGTCTATATAGTTCTGCCAAGGCCTAAGAGTTTAGGAAGATGCCATATACAGACAGATTAAGATTATAATTTCTCCTTGTCCTTTCTGAAACAGTTCGTATGTTTTACAATAATACTTATTTATACCCGGGCAAGAAAAAAAATCGATCAAACTCCAATCCAGTCGACGATGAGATCACTGGAGGATGCAGCTCCAATCGGCGGGCGGCGAAGGCTCGGGTGCCCGGAGCCCCGGAGGCAGAGCGGAGGGGAGTAGCGACTAGCGAGGGTTCCCGGATTCGGTTTGGCTCGACCGCTCGACACTCTCGCTATGACGCTACTACGGCCGGCTGGAAATTGGGAATTTGGGATACGCCTCCCCTAGTCGCCTTGAATCTCCTATGGACATGGATACTGCGCGACCCGTCGCGCAATACGAAAACGCGCGACCCTAGCAGCCCCACGCGAGATCCACAACAGGTCAGTGCATGCGCCCCCGACAAACCAGCTGCCTGCCTATGGTCCAAGGCGGCACGCAAACAAAAGAAACAAAATCCTCCGTATTTCCTTTGAATTGCTATAGATTTTGATTGTTGTATCCGTTTTCAATTTCGTTTGTGCCAGTGTATTCTACGTGACGAAACAAACAAAATTATACCTCACTTGCATATGTTTCGAAAATTTTTATTTTAGTAGCAAATTATGTGTAAATATGTGCTAGGAGATTTATTAAAGGAATTACTACCATGTATTACTAAAGTTGCTACTATAAAAATATACTAAAATTTTTATATAGTATGCACATCGATAGTTATATCGTGAAAATATAATATAATTGTTATATAGTATTTATATAAAGGTACTAGCCCTATATCATAGTATTTTAAAAGCAAATTACATGGATCGAGTTGCTAATTAGAGTTTGTTGCAACTTATATAATGTAAAACGAGTAATAAATCATGTAGAAACAATGCAATTAGCTACCAACTAGGGAAATTATTAAAAAAAACAAGAGTAGTGACCCAAAACAAGATAATATGTAACCTATGGGGCAAATTATTAAAATAAGCATAAAATAAGTTGTCAATTAGGGAGACAAGTTATTATACAACCCAATCTGCGACCTCTAATCCTAATACTTTCTGCAACATCTAATCCTAATACTTGTTGCCACCTCTAATCCCAACCCAATCTATCTTCTGCCTTGTATGTGTATGTGCCTTTTCTTTTGGGGCAACTTATGTATGTAATGGCTACCCTTCTGTGACAACTTATATATTGTAGGTGGGACAACTAATATGTAGAATTTACGAAGGCATTCAAACTTAAAAGGGTGAATGAAAACTGAAACTAAAACTGTCTGATACTAAAAAAATAAAAAAATTGACTGAAAACTAAAAACTAAAAATAGAAACTAAAAACTAAAGTAGACACAATAGAAAACACAAAGCTGAAATTGAAATTGACAACAAGAAAATTAAACTAAAATTAACAAATAAAAACTAAAAACTAAAATAGATACAACGAAAACAAATAATTGAAAATGAAATTACCAAGATTTGAAACAAAAATTGACAATGAAAAAATTTAACTGAAAATGACAAATAAAAACTAAAAACTAAAGTAGACACAATAAAAAAATGAAACATAAAATTGAAACTGAAATTGATAACCAAAAAATGAAAAATGGATACTGACAACTGAAGTAGACACAATGAAAAACCAAAAACTGATTATTTTCAAAAACAAAAACTGAAACATAACAACCCATCGGGCCTGCCTCGGTTTGTTGGGAATTTTTTTTTAAAAATCTTAACCTTTTTTAGAACTAATTTTAAATCTAACACTGTCGGTTTTTATTTTTTAAAACTAACACTTTTGGCCGCGCCTATTGTCCTGGCGCGACCAAATGACTGTGCCGCGTCATGCATGGTGGCGCGGCAGCGGGCTGACGTAACGATAGCTGAGGGCGCTAACCGGTGACGTCAATAGCTAACAGCGCGGCAGTACCAGGTCTGTGCATCTCAGCCGGCAGCACTATGAGTCCGTATGCGATGTCTGCCTCGTTCTTCCATGCATGTCCTGAGCAAGCTGAGCGCACGTCCATCGATCAGCTGCATGCTGCCGTTTCTGCTGCTTGTGTTTCCGAGGACGGGATTGGATAATCAAATAGTAGTACTAGGAGTACTCCCTCCGTCTCATTGAGTTTGTCGTTTGAAAACCGTGCCCCCCTCACAATCCCGCTTTCCGAGCGACAAACTCAATGGGACGGAGAGAGTAGGAGAGAGCGAGAGATGACCTGTCTGGTCTCATCATGTATACTGCCCCTATCCAAACATATGATGGAACAGACGTCCCTTAAAATAACTAATGGAACAGACGCCTCTTAAAATAATTAATTATATAGTTTGTGATTAATTTACGAGATAAATCTTTTAAGTATAATTAGTTCATGATCTGACAATGTGGTGCTACAATAACACATACGTTATTAATGGATTAATTAGACTTAATAAATTTGTTTCACGGATTATTGACGGATTCTGTAATTTATTTTTTTATTAGTATCCGA